CGTTTTCGTTTTAATCGAATCATCGTTTTATGCAGGTGGAAAAATATCCATGTTTCTCCAAGGATTAAAGTCCACAGTCAAAAATTAATTCGTTGCATATTCGATGATTTTGCAAGGTAACAATTGAAAATTTGTTACAGTAAGTAAAGCTGGACCGCGTGTTGACGGTACTGGAGTCTGTGACTCGCGTAGCCAGTTTTGCGTTCATCTATTGTCAGGATACGAATGCAACATATATATGATTAGGAGGGGTAAGTGTAGCGTCTCGCCTCTATCTTAAATGTCCTTAACTTACTAATCTCGTTTGGTCCACCTAACCATGCAACTAGCATGTGACTGTTAACTGGTGGATTTCAGAAGTAGAGTCATGAAATAGCATGAAAGAAAGAATATTCAATGGGAAATAGACACCAACGTAATTAAGAGGGCCTCTATTGGCAGGGCCGAGAGGTGATGACCAAGTTCCCTGTACTACATCGCAAAAGAGATCTTTCCTTATGCTCATTGCCGTATAATCACGCCCAAAATCCTCGTACGACTTGGATGAAGTTTCCACGATGATAAGACCGGACAATGTTTTGATACAACTGCGACGGCCAAATTTGATATATTTACATAATTGTGAATGGAAGCATTGAAAGATCTTCAAGCTTGTGTAGCGTGCCGTTCAATTAAAAAATCTTGCAAGGCTTCAATCTTCTAATATGATCTGATGTCAATCTTCTCAATATTCACTTCAATTTTAACTTATTTTCAACTTATTCACTTCAACTTCAACTTATTTTGATCAATTTATTAATTATCAATCTGAAAACTTAACACAACCAACTACGCCCATAAAATTAACAGAACAGAAAAGGTGCAATGAAAATTACGAACACAAGGCAAGAAAACAATGTATACAATTAAAACATCCGAAAACTGAGGACAAACCCTGAACTCAAGAACAACTTGAAAGTCGGCAGAAAAAAACTAAAATCTGGTACATTATGACTACTAACTGATCATTTGCAGGCGCTCCCGAAGTATGTGAACCAAGATGGCGGACACCCGAAACCCGAATAACATGAATCATACAACGCAAGCCTGACACACTAATGATCAGGAAAAATACAAGCCCATCAGCTCACTAACAAAACTGTAAACATAAAATTGCGATATTCACGAAATAGCAGATTGGAAAAAGGTTATCAATATATTAACAGGGATTATTTACGAAGAAACGAGAAGAAGGAGTATCAAGAAGGAGTGTTTCAGGAAGAGGTATAGGTGTATAGAGTTCCTGAAAAAACATCGACTACTCACAAAGCAAATGAATTGCCCGCACTGTAAATGGGAAATGCTAGAAAAAAAATTAGAAACCGTGAATAGACAAACTACAGGTGCAGGAGGTGCAAAAAGACAGATTGCAGATTCATGGTTACAATCCGGAAGAAATATATTTTTGAAGGAAGTAAAGCTAGAAAGAATCTCAAACTAGACTGGGATGATATAAAAAGCGATTTAGAGCTATGAATGGAGTATCTAGAGTAGACAAATGGTCCCAGGGTACTTGGATGAATGGAACAACATCGACAGATAACGGAACAAGCCTGAAGAGACGTCGGGAAACCGGTGACAGCGGAACGGTTACGACACAACCAGAAACAGGAAGTTTGAGCGAGATATATATTATGGCAGACGTTGAAGAAACTACGGATGGGGGTTGATTGGATGAAAATTTTGAATATACGTTTAGTAAACGTACGCCAGAACAGGTGGTCTTCAAAAGAAGTGGAGATAATATACATGAAAATGCTTCATTGTTCCTAGAATTACAAAAAAGAGTAAGTCAATACAGAGATTTGTTGCCGAGTGAACGTAGTGAGTATAGTATGGGTCTACGATAGACCCTACGAACTCAGATTATAATTCCAAGGTAACCATACTAAAATTTTCGGATGATAATAGTCGAGCATTGAAATCGCCTTTGATAAGGTGTGTCACCCATCATTATAAACAATATCGCCGGATGAGAACAGAACAGGCCTAAGTCACAATTTTGAGTTTTGAGAAAAACGCAAAAAACAATTTGGAATTTTTTTATTTTCGAATTTCTAGATATTCACACTTAGTAAAGTCCTGAGCTCTGGTTATATTAATGTGGATGAGAATATCTTTGTAATTAATATTTTTTGGCACTTCAGCTTCAATTCTTTCCTGCTTTTTTACCCCTATAAGAAACTTTGGCCCATTCTGTTCTCAACATCTTCTGAAATTTTTTTGTATGGGATGCAAGGTAAAACAAGGTGACTTAGGCCTAAGTTGCACTGAAGAAATTTTTAGGGATGTAAGTTTCGGACATTTCATTTCTGATGTTCATGCCCATCATATTGAAACTTAGGACTATCTTTTTTCAACATTTTGGGGTTTTGAGCCCTGCTCTACAAGGTGGTGGTCTTGAAATCCTGCATTTCTCAATAATAAAAATTTTAGCTGGACTTAAGCCCATTCTGTTCTTAAATATTTTAGGCCTAAGTCCAGCTAAAATTTTTATTATTGAGAAATTCAGGATTTCAAGACCACCACCTTGTAGAATGTAGAGCATGGCTCGAAACCCCAAAATATTGAAAAAAGTCAATTTTCCAAAAATGTGACCTAGGCCCCTTCTGTTCCCCTTCGTATATTATACGAAGTATATGTTTGACTGCCTTCCGTTTATATGTGGCAAAGTTGGAGCCGGATATTAAAAGAGCTGGGCAAGCCGCCGAATAAAAGTGGGATAAAAAACACTGACCATACTTTATTTTGTTTTTACAGTAAAATTATATGTTAAACCTTAGCGTAAAACTGACAAACTGGTGGAATTAATAATAATATCAACTGGAAAATACACAAACAGAGCACCTCCTGTAACGGAACAATGGGAAACATTTCTAATATTGGTTCAAGTGTAGTTTCTTTGCTCTCACATTGTTTTTTTCTTCTTACGGGTGCCTAAAACGATCCAGGCGGATCGAGCAATGGGAAGTCTAGGAACACACGACCCGACTTTCATTAGTTTTAGAGTTTTTTTCTACAATGGTTAATGTTGGATTATTGGACAATCGGTGTACATACAGCTCGTTTTGGTATTATGTTGTTGTTGTGAAAAATCGCTTGACTCTTCAAATACTTGACTACAGTAATTGCTTTGAAATTTAGTTTGATGCTTGAAATGATGTTTTGCAGTGGGAAATGATTGTAACCTACTATAACACTATACTATACTTCTTTATTTCGGTCACCGGACAGAGTACAGTATAGATTAGGTTTGCTAATTGCTATACGCCATATTTTTCCCTGACATGTCCGGGATTTTAGTGGTTAAATTTGGGTCAGGAAAAATGTTAAAAAGTGCTTAAATGTCAGGGATTTTCGAATACAGTGAATCACTGCCACAAATCTTCGAGTTTTCAGATATTGCGCATCCACGAAATCCTATTTTTTCAGAGATATGTCACATTCTAGCATTTTTGTGCAACACGGATTGCACTCCCTTTACCTGCACTTTATTCCGTGCCCGCGTTTAGTCACTAGTGCTAAAGATTAAGCAACAATTTTGCTCCTTTCGTTTTGTTCTGCATTTATTTTATTTTAACGAGAAAGCGACGGCAGGATACAACGTGAATTTAAACCATAAAACTGTACAGCATAAGTGTTTTGGTTGCGAAATTGATCAATGTTGCTCATTAAACTTTTGTCAGCGATTTTGTCTTTCTAGATATGGTGACCCTAGTAAGATGAACCACCGTTAGTCAATTAATGTGAAGTTTCCTGCGAGTTTCTTTGTTCGCTCTCTTGTTGTTGATCAATATACAGGAAAAATACCAAATGTTCGCTGCAAGCTTGCTTCCTTGTCCATCGACATTCGCGAAGCTGCTTGCGCTTTATTACCTCATGTAAAGGTTTCAGGGTCACCCATTGTTTATCTGCTATTGAGTTGAAGATAAACCTTGTCCCGATCAACAGTTGCCTTCAAAATATTGCTGTATTATTATTACATCACAAAAAGCATCTCCTGCACTTGTTGAAACAGTATTTCTTTGATACAAATTCGATTAGTCTATACATGTGCCTTTGTCTTAGAGTTAGACAAATGTTGCCGGTTTATTTATCCGTACGGCGAAATTTTGCATGTGATCAACTGCATTAATCATGGTCAGGGTTATTCCAACCTAGGAAATCTCGCTTCAATATACAAAAACATTGTTCAATTTTTGGCCTTGTGGTATAGTGCAATGGGTTTTCACTTTCTGTCTTTCGCATAGAATTAGTATCATAAAATGAGATTTTCTGCCATACCTATTATCTTCAAATAAAAAGCGATTACACACTCCTCCGTCGTGCACAAACTGATATGGAAAATGCCGATTATGGTGTCATGTAGTGATATCAACCATAGCTCTTATCAAAATCGTGTTGGCATCGCGAATGACTCAAACCTTTTCTATTTATGAAGACTTCAGTTTAACTTCCACTTGAGGGGAAAATCTTGATAGTGATTCGGGTACAACCAATTAAAGCTATGATACCAGTGAAGTGGCACTTTTTGTTGATTGGGGGGCAGGTAAGATAGATTTTACCTGTTTATCCCGGGGGAGATGAAAGCGGATAAGACGACTCAATCATATGGCGAACCATATCATCTCATCCGGTTACCAGTCCAATGTCCATGTCGGGTATGAAATTGGTTGGCCAGTTATTTGTTTCAGATGAACTTCTGGCGGCTTTAACCGAACAGAGGTTACGTGGACTATCCTAAATAAAAGGTGCGATCGATTGGTTAAAGTTTTAAAAATATTGTAAACGCTACACATTTCGCTATGCTGGCATATTCCGGTTAAATCACCATTTCCCAGGTTAAATCAGAAAAGCTATCTATTTGAATTATACCAAAAAGCTCATTCACCCATCTTTGTGCCTTTTTGAAATTTATGAAAAAGGTCAATTTACCGATCTCGACAAATTCACGTGAAATGTGATGACATTAAAGCTATGCTTTTATTAAATAAATAAATACAAAATCCTATTTGCATAAATAAAACGATCATAATGCTATATATAATTTATTAAAAATATAGAATAGGATAAAAAATGCCGTTGTCCTTTATGAGGTTCAGTGGACATAAATAGGTTATGAAATCAAACAACTAAAACGTTTTAATATTTTGGTTATACATTGATTTAAAATCTAAAAATTTGCAACGTTTGTACCCTGCTAATCGACTTAGTCGAGTTATCTTACTCGGGATCCAAAAGCAAATCTCTCTGAATTCAGACCAAATCGGAAGTCAACCTCTTTACGTTTAAACTAATGCTTTCCTAATTAAGGTTACTGATACACCGGCAGCCTGTTGAAACATTGTTTTCAATAGTATTTTACCAAGGATTTTGTTCTGAGTGACATGGTATAAATTAGATTTAAGGGCCGAAGGACACATTTCAGAACGGAAATCTGTAATAAAAACGTTAAATGGGACCATGTTTTGTATTTTAAGCATAAAGGATTTGACCAACAGAGAATTTTACGTAATTTGTGAGTCTTTAGATGTGATGCAGGTGGGGTATTTCCGAGGATGGACTGTTTGGGTTATACGTGAGGGAATTTCTTGAGATTTTGAAGCAATGATCAACTTCGGCCGCAACGTTTTACGAAACACAACACGCGCATCAGTCGTTTACACAGTGACTTAAGATTTGATTGAAACTCTTCGCTTCTTCCATTGTATATAAAAAAGTTCCAGAGGCTGTTTGATAATATGACAATAGTTCCCACGGATACAGATGATTTGATATTCATAAATTTCTTTTCGTCAAATGTAACCGGGTCTCCAGGCCATACGTCTCCCATCGCGAGATGACAAAATATAACAATGGTTGCAGGAACAACACAAATAGTGAATACTCCTACCATGATAGCTAGAGTTTTTATGAGATGACTTTCGTCATCGTTCAATTGAGTTTTTTGTTCATTCTTTTTGAACAAAATAAACATTGCAATTTGTACTCCAAAGTATTACGAGTGGGACGCCCAGAACCGCATACAAAATTGGGCTATTTTCGCCTTGCATTACTACGATCATCGATGCCAGAGGCAAAAGATATATTTCTTCCACGATAAACGGAAGAATCGAGTAAAGTAATGCACAAATCCAAACAACCGCTACTGCGATTTTTGCTGTAAAAATGGCTCGAAATTTCTCATAAGAAAGTGGTCGATATACTACAAGTAGTCTATCAATGCTTGCCATCATTAACGAATATATTGATACCGAGATTGACAACGAGGTAAAGAACCCAGACAAGCTTATGAAAGTATCAGAATAAGCTTCGCTCGTTATTTTCGTGTGCAGCTTATGTACTCCGTCAACTTTTCGTGGTAACAATGTTCGCCTCATTGTTTCTACCATCGAAGGTATCACGAGGACTCCAACTATCAAATCCGCCACCGCAATTGATATTTTATAAATTTTCTGACTATTTATTTGATTTCTTTTGCTTGATAGAAATACGATCAGCACAGTAGTGTTCGCCAGTGTTATTGCACAACTGAGTAACCCTGCAACGACCATCAGGGTGTAGAGGATCACGATGCATCTGTAAAAAGTATGTGTTTGTAAGCCCAATGTGTAATTTTTTAGTAGACTAATACAATCATGACAGCCTCAAACAATCTTGTTGTAATTATGTAAAATAACCAAATTTTAACATTAACTTATTGCATTGATTGTTAGTACAAACATCACGAACGGTTTCCAACTTTCTTAGTAAGATCTAAATTTTACCACGGTACACATAAACTATTGAGTCGACTAATGTTCTAAACTTGGTATAAAAAGTTATACTTGAAACAATTTGAAAATTATACTACTTACTCACCGACTGGGCATACACCACGAAATCGATACTTTATAAGTTGTCAATGCGTAAGATGGAATCGCACACCAAACAATTCCACAGAAAGGCATATGTATTTCTCTCAATTCGAAGTATTTTTGTTCTGCTGAATTGTCGGCAAAGGGCAGTGATGATTGGAAACAAGGATCAAGAAGTTCGTCTTTGGAATACTTTTGTTCTTCGAAGTATACGTCGGGAATACGTTTGATAGAGTCGCCATTAGTTGAATTTCTATCAACGATTCTTTGCAGTATTGAATGTCCAGTTTGATTAGTCATCCATTGATTTCCACAGGTATCAATAAAAGCTGTTTTATTACAAAAACGTAGATACAACAGACTTGTATATTTACTGAAATTAAAAGTTTGTTTGATACACTCTTGCTGAAACTGCGGACAATCACGCGATTTAAGAACTTTTAGCAAGTCTCCCAATCTGTCATCTTTTTGGTCAGTTTCCATAAGCAACAAATATTTCGAATAGAAGAACTTGCACCAATCTTTGTTTCTTTCCTCTATTGCATCAGCAAACTTTCCGAACACCATCAGTAATAAGAATATATTACAAAAATTGAAGCAGACTTGTCTCATTTTGTTAGTAATAGTTAGTATCTTACATTTTTCTGTAAAAACAATAGTATAAGATAAACGGGGTAATCATTTTAATTCAGTTGGCTGCAACTAAATTGGCTAGTACAGTCAAATACAGTACATCTCGACATGCTTGGCTTGAGCTCGCGTGCGTTGTGATACAGAATACAGAATTACAATACAGAATTTATAACATACGGAATATCTTGCTCTTCTCTTCATACCATACTATTATTAGATATTTCACTAGAAAATACTCGCAGATACGTTGCTCAATTCGAGCGCAATACGTTGAATATAACACCGATAAGATGACACTAATAAAAAGGTTGTTTTGATACATAAGTATCTTTTATCCATTAAATGCTTTTCGAAAATACCTCTGGGCATATCGTGAACAACGAGTATAATAAAATTATAAATTTTTTGCTCAATCTTGCTTTCGAAGAAATGAACTTTGGAGCCGATTTATAAGCTGTTACCATAAAATGAGTCTACATTAATATTAAATAATTTTTAATAACATATATGCACCGAATAATCTGTTCGCAAATAGACTGTAACGAGGCATTTCAGACATATTTCACAAACTTGGAAAATAATTTTGATTGGAAATAGGTAATTGTTTTTAAAATACATTACACTTGGGGATCCAATATCTCGGTGTGAATACTAATTTACTTTATCAGAAGAAATATTTGAATACTAAGCTCGGCTCATTGTCTCATATTGTCGCATATGCCAAATCTATTCTTCGGCCCCTGCATTCAAATTCTGTAATTTACAAAATGCATATATGTCAGCAAGCAGCTAGACTGTCTTATTCAGTGAAAGAAAATGTAACCACAACCACAAAGAAGATCTGAGTCAATCCATTCATCTGATCGAGACTTTCCCATTTGTATTTTAGCATAAAGTCAGGCACTTGAGTAAGTCAAATTGGCAAGTACAAAAGCAGCAGCAGTAAATGTAACGAATTTTCAGGTATATTTTCGGCACATACAAACAATTCCAAATCCCTTATTATCACAGTACACAAGTTTGTTTACAGCATCAGGTAGCATGCACCATCTACGGACCACACATCACCCACTTTTCACCAATTTTTACGTAAATGAATTACTAACCTGACGATTTAAAAAGTTGGGTATTCTTATGGAAAACTCCAGTCATCGCATGATGTTGTTTGGAATAGTGTTACTAAATTAAAATAGCCTCCACGTGACATATTGCGAAGGCTTGTATTTTTTAAATGAAGAAAAGATTATGGTTTCGTCAATAAACGGGATTTAACTTATAATAACAAACCTTAAATGTAATTTGAAATTGATATTGGTATAAGCAACACTGAATATGAACTTGTTCAGAAATTCTTCACATCAGACTAAATTTTCAAATATTTAAAGTAGCTTTTTAGCTGTTTAAACATGTAATTATTATATTATGTAGCCTTATATACAAATATAGACATATAATCAGCTGCTTAGTGGAACGGAATTTCTTCGCTGAGAGAGATAATTTTATTCCAAAATTCTCTATCTTATTGCCATCAGCTTAATTGATTCCGATAAACAATATGTATGCTTTTTAAAGTCTTCAACCTTTCTGTGGCATACCAAAAGCGCCAAATATGTATTGTATCACAAGCATTCGTTGTTGAACCAACAAACCGGATAGCTTCGTATCATGTTACAAAGCACACTGATATAAAATACGATATACTAAAATAAAAATAATGGTTATTATCAGTAGTAGCCCATCGCGACACGGACTAAACGTTACGGTACTAGATCATAATTTTGAGACACCAGTACCAGTTATGACAGATGCTTGCATGTAACTATTTATGCTACATCTTTAGCATGCAGCTGTCCGAAACGATATCATCGAGCAATACTTACTTATTTGAAACGTGAAAAATTTTATACAAACAAACAACGGAAGTATGACGTCAAACTGCATAGGGTCCATGTGAAGACTCATTCTAGTTTGACGTAATCTACTGGTAATCCGCCTTGGGATACACGTCAGTTTTCACGCTTCAACGCCCAAAAGTTGCCGTAGTAGCATTATATTAAAAATTGTATTGATAAGCTCTTGACAGACTCAATTCTAAGTCAACAGACTTGACTTAGAATAAAAAATAGGTCAAAAAGTTTAGGCATGAAATTTAAATTGGACCGCACGAGTATTGAAAGCAATTTTCAACTGCTACTTTTAAACTCTCTTTTCCAATGAATGCAGAAAATTTGTACGTGTTGGACGCTTTCGTAATAGTATTTAAACTTATAATATAAGTATTTCCCCAAAATCTGCAATTTGCCGATTTCGTTCACTTAGCTGTAGCTCTAACCTTTTGTTGATTTAAATTGTTTAGAGCCTTAGACATTAAGATCACGTTTTAAAAGGCATCTATAAAGATTTATATTTATCTTCGCGTGTCCATGACCGATTGCGACTCTTATATCAGTAATTTTCCACTTGATGCATTTGACGATAAAGCGCTTTTAATCAACCTGCTTGCACTGTTACAAAATAGCTCAGTTACTTCCTCTTGCAACGCATATTACTGCACAAAATAACCTTACCTGGTCATTCTGGTGGAGTATGGTATATCAATTTACGATGAAAGTCTAGCATAAAAAGCCAATAAAAATTTTTGAACAACGAATGCAACTAACACAATTAGTGTTGAGACAAGCTTTCACCGCAACAATTTACTTTTGTTTGGCTTGCGAGAAAAGGTGGAATATTTCTGTGTTGTCATACGTCAGAGCTTATCGAGCTTGCTATGCTGGATGGGCATAAAATCTATTAGCGTTAAATAATATCATTGACCAATACGCCCAGTTGCGAATTCCGGGTATACAAAATAAATCGTTTTTATATAACGTTGTAGTTAAATCACGAATTGCACCTGTCTTCCTATGTACCGGTAGGAAGCATTGAGAGGCTTTGTGCAATTTACGTCCGCGAAGCCGTGTCTCTTATTAGTACATGTTTGAAGCTTTTCAGGCCTCATATCAACAGATATATACCGTATTTTCTGGCGGATAAGTCTATCCGGTAAATAAGACGAGTCCCGTTATTATTTATTCCGTTTCATCGCAATGCTGCCAACTCATTATTTTGAGGTTATCACCGTAAGAAAAAACTTCAAGTCAGCGATAATATCCCAGAGAGTAAATTTATTTCAAAAAATGAATTAAATATACTTTACATTAATTACGGTATTATACATGTCAGGCCCTGTCGGGCCTTTTTGGGCCCAACCTTGTTTTCAGACATAAAGTTTTTTTTTATGGGTGATTATCCATCTTGGGGTTATTAACCATCATTTCTACATGGGTGTGGAGTTTGCAGCCTTGAGCAATTTTTTTACGGCTTGATATTTGTATTAGTGTTTTTCATCAAATCTGTGCACCATAATGGCGCACAACCTGAAACCTAACCTGTCACAATACTATGTTCAGGTTGTGCGCCATCTTTGTGCACAAACTACGGAAGCACCAAATTTACTAGGAAATAAAAATCAATAACTTTTAGGTATTTTTTGAACCCAGCTTTGGGTCGCAACCCATATATATGGAAATACTGTTGAAACATACGCGTAAAATAAAGAGTACTACTTCAAAATACCCGCTTTTGTTGCAATTAACAATACAAGCCTGCTAATGCAGTCGGCATTGGTTCAAGTGGATATACACCCGGTGGAAACAGTCAATTATTTGCTAGCAAGGATTGTTATGCAGCGGGATGATCACGACGATGCAGTGAAAGATAATGCTATCACGAGAACAAGAATGAGAAAATTGCTACATTTTATAGTATATCCCTGGGAAAGAATGTAGTTCATTCTTATGTTCCATGCCAATACTTTTCAAACTACCAAAGACTTTCAACACTTTTGCTTCTTCTCTTCTATAAAAATACATTGTTATTACATATTCTCATTTCCATCTGTTTGTTCGTGCTCCTAGATAACCGATCAGTGGCCTCCAAGGAGGCCGTGGTCCCCTTTTAGGAAACCCTGTCATAAACTATGAGAGGCTACCGTGCTTCTCTTGCCTATTGTCATGCTGTCCCTCGAATTCAGCTACAACAAAAAAAATTCACGAAAACGGGTTTTAGATTTTATGATTTCAATATTATTCTCGACAATGAGTGACATATATACGGTAATTTAATTGTGGCTGTTGGGGATGTTTAAAAATGTTTAAAAAAGAAATGCCAAGATGGGATTTCATCGCATTGCAAACTAATATTAGCGATTCTCAGATATATTCGCGCATTCCCATCTGAACAGCGTGGAAAAGATTATATCTATCTACACACTTGAAAAACTATGTCAGATGAGCGTCATATTATTGATTATTAGTAAAGGAATAGTGCAATGGGAAAAGACATATAAGGCGTAACTTTCAGTAATATGCATCAAATAATCTTATTGTGGAATATATATTTAAAAACATTTCGTCACGCCAACCGCAGTCCGAAACTTTTTGTCTCTGGCTGAGATTAGATACCAATTGGCACTCATGTAAACTGGTAAGAGGCACGCGATGGAGCAGATAATATGAGTATCCCATCCCCAAGCTTTCATTTGAGTAGGTACTGCTGTTTTTATTGCAGATGATACTGATTTTTTTGTATTAAAGATTTACTGGCATTACCGATTTAGGGTGTCAAGTGATGGATATATTTAAACCAATTGAAAACCAACACCCAGTATTACAAACTTACTTCCAACACGCGGTTTGAATGAATGAAAAGCTGAAACTAGTATTCTTTAAAACAGCATACAAATTCTATGGAATGAAATCATACACAAAAGCTCGTCAAAAACCTATAGCTCAATAAACAAGTGGAATTTGATGCTTGTTCGCAAAAATGTGCGCGTTACTACGTACAACCGAAGCACGCAGGAAAATGTGTGTGATGTACTAGTGATCAAAATGTTTGACTCAACTATGTTGGCATAACAGGTGCACATCTCGGTTTCGCATACGCATACCTTCTATCTCCACAAGGATATCTTAATTTGGCCAAAGTCAATGATAAACCTGAAAGGTTCCGGTTCTTCCAAAAGAAAACACGTTACACATCGTTAGATACCAGTGGATGGTTTTATATAGCCTTGTTCGGAGTAAAAGACGAGGTCGAATATTCCAATCCATTTCAACTAATAAAATATTTTCGAAGTCCCTAAGCTTTAAGCAGGAGAAGGAAATGCCCGCAGCAACACAAATGTAGTTTGACGAGCGCAAAAGAAAGTGGCTATAGATGCTGTCAATGGATCTTGGCTTATATTAGTGAAATAAACTACCATTTATTCTACTAAAATTGAATTTCTGACATTGTAAGGAGATGCAATGTTACTATGTATTCAAAACTAACCCATGTAGTTATGAAATAATTGTTTTTAACGAAAAGGTGCTCCCGAAGTATTCGTACCAAGATGGCGCACAACCTGAACATTGCATGTGTACCAGGTTAAGATTCAGGTTGTGCGTCATCTTGGTACGAATACTTGAAATCCATTTAAAAAAAATTGCTCAACATTATATACTCCACACCCACCTGGGTATCATTATTTTTGTCATCTACATTATATCTAAACAATAAAAAAAAAACTTTATGTCCCAAAACAATGTTAAAGCCCGATTCTGCCGGACTAATTGTAGAACACAAAATGTTTTTGCGATTTTCAATGTCTAAAAATCATCTTTAATCTGTCACGGGCCATCCTAAAATAAAACTTAAATGGTGTTTCCGTTATATTTTTAGTATTTTATAACGCCACTTTTCAATCGAGAAAATTTGGGTCACGTCTTTACTCCTTTATTTATCTTAGCATCATGTCACACATGATTATGTAATAACTTGTATCTCACAACACAAGTGCCATGGTTGTTTGAGAATAATAAAGTAATTATCGTCGTCCTCGCGTCAAAAAACATACGTTGAGGAAAATTTGTGACTTGGGGAGAATAAATGTTGAAATGAAAGATGTTTACGACTCAAATAAGACGCTGGCAGAAACAATCGACCTTTTTGGACAGTCGATTTTTACAAATTGCAATCCCACGTGTATCCGTAATAGCCGTTCACTGCTGGTGCACGCACAAATGCGGCAACTTCAAATATGATAATTACAGCATTGAAATTTCAGATTCACAGCGCGAGAACGCTGATTCATTTAAAGTTTAAACTGACCTGATGAGGGCGTTATGGGGGATGCTATCGCCGAGGGTATTTTAAGGTCCAAATTGAATAATAAGCCGACTTCGAAAAAATGAAAACTATCATACTCGCTTAATAAGAGTTTTGAACATGTTCAAATTGCCTTTGAAGGAAATAACTTGATTACAAAATAAAATATCCCAAAACAGTCATTCTAAAGTTTTTCAGTTTTGAAAAGTGAGAATTTCTATATTTTGCACACAACGCATGGACGTAAATCAATACAAAATTCACTGCTAAAATACATGAACACGGAGCGCAAATGCGATATGTCAGGCGAAGGTGACATAAAATACAACAACAAAAAGTAGGTGAAATATCCGATTCCATAAGAGCCAAAAGAAACGTAAAAAAAAATATAGCAAAACGATCCATCGGCACTCCAAAACTCATAGATGTGGCCACAGAAAACCTCGTACCGTAAAGTTCCCAAACTAGTATAACGCAGCTCATCCACAGATATGAAGCTGCTTTCATTTATATCATAGAATTACAATTCAACATTGAATATTCTAATAGTATAAAAAAAAAAAAATAAAAATAGCTCACAAATCTCTTTCTCTGGTAAAAAAACATGACCTGATGACTACTTGCCCCTAACTGACTGCGTTGAAGTTACATGTCTCGGAGTCGGAACTACAGTAATCGTATTCTGAAAAAGCAAACAATTTTGAGCTTTTGATGTTTCGTATGCAATATCTAGTGAGAAGAACCTCAAGAATGTATTATCAATTTAGCTCAGCTACAAAAGCACATACCAAACCTAAATCAGCGACTGCTCTTAATATGCATTATAACAATAAACTACTTATATTCGTACTTGTGATAAGATATAGTTCAACTATTTTTATGCAAGACCGATGCGCTATAAATATTTCAATATGCGCGCCCTAAATTGGCAAAATTGCCCGATTTGGCTTTATACGCAAACAGCGCTATTGTTAAAACCTTAATAGATAAGCATACTGTACACGAACTGTGTATGAGCCGAATAAAGACCGCAGCGCCATGCATCGTTGTTGATTAATTAATACCAACGTCAAAAGAGTAGAAGAAGATAACTCAAATACCACACTGACGTAGCAGATATTTGAATACGCACACGTCGATAGATAATGAAAACGCTTGTTTCAAAAACAAAAATGATCAACAAGATCTAAAACTTCCTTTATCAATATTGTTGGCGATTTTCACAGTTCCAGTTTCCTAAAATGGCGTAACTTTGAAAGAACGATTTTAAATATTCATAACAACACGTCTGAAATGTTTTATTAATTTTAACGCAAACAAGAAGTCGTTTACGGCAAAGTGTTCCTTACACATACGTTCGAACGATTCAACATTATAATTCATTTTCTTTACAAAAACTTATATCAAGACGAATTCACTGTGGCGCCTTCCACCCGCATAAAACTTTTTCACTAAACATTTAACAGTTAAAATTCTAGAACATTCTGGGTTAATTTGCTTACCTGTTCATTCCGTGAAGACGATATAAATAAACTACATCCATAGGAAAGGCCGCAGTCACAGCAAACGATCTTTTTTGCGTACACTTGTTGTCAATTAGCAAAACCATATGAGCAAAATACACGAGACAAAGTAACTTCTGATTACTGGAGCGTAAAGGATATTTTAAACTTATAGTCAACCATCCTTTGTGTAGGTCTATAGGAGATAATGGTGTGTTGCGCAGGTTCGCTGAAACAAATTATCATTCACTAACCTATTTAACTTTGCTCAAATCAGCAACTGATACTTTATGTTAAGACGAGAATTGAAATTGGATATCCGTGACGTTTAACACTTCCTTTTATTCTCAGTGTGATATTGCGATTGGCGCGCTCCGTCCATGGCACACACAATGCTATTTAGATGTATGACACTTTTAGTTTTGTTCCAAACAACGAAATCATAACGACCTGTAAACGAACTCATCACCGAAATTGCTATCAGGTATGTACGACAAAATTGAATTCGACTTGTGTGATCCATATTGAATTTTTTCTAATTGTAATCTCATATATAATGTAACCATGCATACATACAAAAGTTTGCTAAATAAATGTACATTGAATTTTCGCCAATTTTCTTCGACGTTTTGATTTTGAGATTGAACAGAAGCCTATGGGTGACTACAACACGTGACAGTTAAAAATTTCCAACTCTTTTTAAATAGTTTTTACCTGTTCTGACTGACTTCAACGTCGTTGCGTGTTACTGAATCATAGCATCTCGCTTTTACATAATGTCTGCAGAACTGCGCTGGGCAAGATTGTACTGATAAATCTTTCAATGAAAAACTCTCCAGCGCACTCAATCGTGACCATTGCACCCCTGATCTCTGCATTGTTGTCGTTTGATATGCCTTCGTTGACGTGTGTAAAGCTGGACCGCGTGTTGGCGGTACCGGGGTCTGCGATTTGCGTAGCCCGTTTCGCGTTCACCTACTGCCAGTCAGGATACGAATGCAACATATATGATGCATATGCAAGTGTAGCGTCTCGCCTCTATCTCGTGTTCCTTTAGGTGTAACAATTATCTGTGTTCTTACTGTTTAGAAATCTAATCTATTGGTACTGCGTTTGTTCATACTTGAATGACACTGAAAATAATTACTGGCTCTTTCGTACCTCACTAACTGTTTGGCGATTGTTATTGGGTTCGACCTGATTTTGCAATCTATGAGCGACTATTACACGTTTTTTAAGTTATAATACATTTGATTCTATCTAGTCAAGTAGACTGTTGTTTATGGGGATTTGGAGAACATAGGCTGTAATATTCGTTCCTGAAGGTGCCGTCTAGTCCGAGCATAATAAGAAAAAGACCGCGTCCACAAGTTAATTTTTAGTATGAACATCTGTGGCACACTGTGATCCAAGTGGACACCGTTTAAGAGTTGGCACATCGTGACCACCACTACAGTGTCCTTCTCCTCCGCTTGGCATAAATACTTGTGCTTCTATATAGTGCATTATTTTTTTATTATCAATATTATTTTTCAATTTACGATACAGTTTGTACATGAGGATGGCTACATTCGTAAAGGTTTACGGAGATTTCGTTTGGCCGACCCACCCATGCACCTTGCATGTGACTGTTAACTGGTTTTCAGAAGTAGAGTCATGAAACAGCGTGGTGGAAGAATATTCAATGGGAAATGGACATTAAAGTAATTAGGACGGCCTCTATTGGTGGGGCTGAGAGGTGATGATCAAGTCCACTGTACTTATGTACATCACAAAAGAGATCTTTCCGTAAATCATGCTCAAACCCCTTCTTCCCCATTCGGCTTAGATAAAGTTTCCACGGAGTTAAGACCGGAAAGTTTTGATATAATTGCAACGGCCAAATTTGATATATATACTTCAAGTACATAACTGTGAATGGAAGCATTGAATGAAAATCGTCAACATTGCAAAAAGTTTCAGATTCCTTCTACCGGTAGCAAAATTGAATAACGTAGTGAGATCAAATTCATAATTCAAGCAAGAACTTATTTTTTTTTCACTTTACTGAAAATACACACAGAATATTAGAGAGAAGGAAGACTCGAAATTCGGGCTCTTAAACTTATTCAGGGCTCAGGCACTTCGAAAAACGGGAAAATAGCTTTTAAAAATAATGAATTAGTTAAATATAGTAAAATTCAATGTTGAACATGCAAGGCGCAACGAATAAATCCAATAATGAGGTTTGAAATGTAGTATTACAAGGAGTCGGGCGCGGTTGATCACCACATATGCTAGAGTGCTGGACACTTTAAAAAAAGAATGGGAATTATCAATAATAAAAGACCATGAAATAAAAATTATTAGTCATATGAGTCGCCCTAGGATAGGTGAAAATACGGTGACTATAATTGGGTCTAGTAGTTTTATTTAGGAATGGTAAATTGATACCGGTAGGCACGGTCGATTTGTTATTAGGTGTAATAATTTTTAATGAACATGCAAGTGTAACGAGTAAGACCACTAATGAAGTTTAAAATGTGGTGTTAAAAGGAGTCGCACGCACTAATATTTTTTTATTTCATTGTTTTTTATAGGTGATAATTCAAATTTTCTTCTTCTTGCCGAGTGTCCAAATACGTGTCTAACATATGTGGTGCTAGAGCGCGTGTGACTCCTTCTTATGCTATGTTTTAAACCTAATTATTAGGTTTACTCATTCCACCTTGCATCTTTTTAAATGTTAGCATGCCCACTTCTCCTTTTTTCCGAAATGCATAAAAAGTACCCAATTTCCTGTGCCCACTTTTAGTCCGTCCCATGAATAAGTCGATTGTTTGTTCAACAATGAAGACTATGACGATTGCACGTGGCAAATATATATTACAATTTTTATTGGCGAAAATTTTACACAATACATGAAACGAGTTTCAGATCTTGAAATATTCATGAAACATTCTAGCCTTTTTATTTTCTAAGAACATTATATGGGCCAATTACTTGTAGTATATCACATACGAAGCAAAATCCCAATAAATGTAGCATTATCATTGCGTATACATTTCAGGAAAATCCAAAATTTTATACGTAACGATGTTTTAAATAAGTTTAACTAAATAAAGGTTATCAGAATACATGCACATCACACAACTATTAATACAGCGCTGAAAACCGACATCAGCTATATGATGAGAGTGTATATTGACTATAATATTGGAAAAAATTTCTCCATAAATAAAAACTATTAAAAAAGGTATGGCGAAATGTGGTGAGTCATGTCTGATGTAGGGACAGGTAGCCTATGTGTGAACCTTTTGATACTTGGTATAATTTTATAAAGCTCCGAACCTACGGCTCAAATTCTTATATATATCATAGAATATGGCCCAATGTACAAACGGGATTGTGGTCATGGAATCTGATACACTAGGTAGAGCCAGCAAAGTTTTGAAACTGAAAGCAGAGGAATTGAAAAATGTCGTGATTTTTTTGTCATTCGGAGAGCTGGTTTTGATAAGTTGCCTCCAAAATACTTGGTCTTACGATGTAATAATGTTCAATTCACACTCCTTTTTATTAGCATTGTCATGGTCGAAGTTTTTATTGAAATTTGAATTTTTTGTGGAATTGAAATCTACTGAATTTCAATGACTGAATTAGGTTTTTTATTGGGAAATCCTTGGAGAATCGAGCCTAGTCTGAATTCCCCATGCTCATTCTATAAGCGCTTGTCTGGCTGGTCAAATTACCTTTTCGAATTTTATCAGTTTATACTCATATACGAACACAAAATCAGATTGCCGTTCATGCAATCTTATACTGGGTATAAATACGCCGAGAACTGCTATTTATTGCCAATTCATGCTGGTCAGAACATAAAGTTAGCATACTCGTGATTGACTTGTTTATAAAATTAGACACTTGGCGTCTTATTGATTCACTGATTTACAGGCGTAATCCATCAGTTCTACAAATCATCCAACGTAGTGAGGGAAACAGAATAGATTTATTGATAATGAAATTGATTGATAGAAATAATTATTAATAACAAAGTTTTTAACAAATGTAGTCGATCCATTTGGTCACTAATTTCATGCGTGCTAAAGATGAGTCAGAGGTAAATTGCGTCTACTCACGGCACGAAATATAAGTTTCTATTAGTCTAGATTTGTTCGAGGGTAGTAAGCACGTTCTTGGCTATAGTTAATTACCCATATGCTGCACCGAACGGTTGAACGTAGGCTCAGGTTATTATTTTTACGCGTTATTAAGACTAAATTGACAGTTAGAACACTCATCGTTACGCAGTTGTACAGGCAAGTAAAGCTTAGTTTGGTTTAGTAATTCCATATTACCATCAAATCCTAATCAAATCAAAGCAAATGTTGCGCGTCCCCCTCATAGGGCATATATATTTATATCAAGTGTTAAATGTATATGAAGAAGCATCTTCTTGAAATAAAGAAATAGGCAGCTTCGTTAATTTGATGCTAATGCAAAGATGTCGTGTTACATTTAGATTAAAATTTTGATTCCCACAGTTTCAAAATTACATTATACTATGTACCAACTTACTATATTGTATACTATCAAATTTGTAACCGTTAACAATTTCGCCTTGTTTTAAAACAAAGCAAACTCCGTGTTTTTAATTAACAGTACATTTTTTCCGACAGAAAATGTTTTCTTGCTCTCTTACTGCGAGAGTCATAATTATAATAACTTATTGGTATCCGTGTGTTACTTGGGAAATGACGACGAAGTACAATGGCACGTATGATATATTTGAACATGCTATGTTCTTACGAAGAAGTCCTGAGTGTCTTAGTGTAAATTTCGCGCAAAATAATACATTGCGAGAAAAGTGTTGTACGAAATATCACAATTTTTATGCTGAATATTGGGACGACAACTACATGAGGCTCGGAGTTTGGTTAAACTATCTATATCAGTGGAATTGCCCACAATTTCAACAAGAATGCAAGTCACACACTTATAATTTCAGTGATTATACAAATAAACTTTATCTACGTTTTTGTAAACCGAGAGAATATTATGAGGAATGTAAAAGTCATTTTCAAGATGCTGCTTATATTGAAAAAGAATCGTTAAATTACCCTACCTTTCCAGAGACGATTGCTACTGGCGACTCAAATTTTACAAATATATCAATGCACTCAGACAATACAAAATTGTTAAAATATCCATTGGAGCCGTGTGTGCAAGCATCGTTGGTGAAAATTGGTAATAATTCCATGCAGCTAAATTATGTTGAGGTAAAAGATGTTCGTATACCATTTTGCAAAATCAGCTGGTGTGCATTCAGATCGGATGATTTGAAAACAAAAGACTTGTCGTTGTCTCTATGTATGCCATCAATGTAAGTGTTTCAACGTTATTTTTTGTCAACGTAGACAAGGTTTAAATTTCACGAACTTACTCTAAAAACATGCTGAGGAGTTAAGAGCAGTAGGATATGAAAATAAATTAGCATTGGTCTATAACTCTATATAGGTTCTAATTTTGCAGCAACCAACAATCGATTTTAAGAATGTTAATTTTGCTATAAACGTTCATTATGGCACGATAGGATACGACTTATTAGCAGAATATAATTTGTATTTTTAGGGAATGAAAATCGAAAATACTTGAACAATATTGATTATTTTCATTCATTGTAAATGACTAGGGTTATTATTAACTTTTAAAAAGTTTCTATGTTTCATTTCCCACCACACTATCTCAGTGTTACAAACGGGATGTTTTTGGACAGATCGTGAACAACTTTCACTCATTTTATTCAGTGGTTGAATAATAGTGATGATTTGCCAATTGTTATCAAACCAAAATAATTGGTTTGGTCACAGCGAGAGAAATATATTTATAACGGAATAAACATTTCGAATTAAATTAAAAATAATATGACATCAAATCACGTATGTATTATTTTTTCATACAGGTGCCAAGTAAATCTCTACATATTGATGGTCGTCGCAGGACTCATGGGTACTCTAATACTTCTTGCAAATGCTATTGTGGTTATTGTTTTATCCAAGAGCATGGATAATAACAACAGTCAACGTATTTATAAAATGTCTTTAGCTCTATCAGATTTTCTTGCAGGACTTGTTGTTATGCCTTCAGTCATAATAATCATAAGGCAAAGTTTTTTTCAACCCGAAAAAATATATCACTCTATAGACGAGCAGGGAAGGAAAGTGTCTGAAATGTCCGAATTTCCGATGCCATACTGGTTTTTAAACATGGCTGGGTTTTTTACGACTATGTCTCTTTCTATATCAATCTATACATTAACGTTGGCAAGTTTCGATAGATTGTTGGTTGTATATCGTCCTCTCGCATACAACAAATATGATGCGATAAATCGGGCCAAAACATTGGTTGTTATAACTTGGATAGCTGGATGTTGTCTTGGACTGGTGCCATTTATATTCGAAGGAGTGGATTATTCAATAACAGCTTCGTGGATCGTATTATTTGAAGGAGAAATTGCGTTAATTGTCTACTCCGTAGCATTATGTCTTCCTTTATTATTAATGTGGGGTACTACAATTAGCACGTTGGTATTGTTCAAGAGGAATAAGTCAAGTTCCGGCCAGTGTCTAGATGACCGTAATCTTATGAAAACATTATCTATAATGACAGGAGTTTTTTCTCTTTGTCTTGTACCTTCATTATTGCTCATGCTATGTACATTACTTCTAGAGGGGACTGATATTGATGATCCTAGATATTTCAAGCACAACCAGTCGATGGTCTTGATATCAATGGAGGCAGTCACGGGATTTATATTAACATCTAATAATCTTTGGAATTTTTTCATTTATAACAGCAAGGCTGAATTCCGATCACAAGTTCGACTGTTATACCAAAGACAATTTCAAAAGATTCTGGGAAAAATTTCACGCAGACAAAGCAATTCATCTTTTAATTCACGAATTGCTTCTAGACCAGTTTTATCTCAGTATGTCAGCAGTTACAACTAATTGTAAACAATCAAGATTTCATTGCAATAAGTTCTCTTCAACTTGAACTTTTTATTGGAATATTATTTTTGAATTTATTATGTGCATATTGTTCATCGTTTCGTAAAAAATTGTTTGAGTCATTAGTATTTGTCGTTGATTAGGTTCATGTTTCCATGTCATGGCATTCAGCGTTGTTCATAAAAGAGATTCAAAATAATTGTCCATAGAACACAAGTCACGCAAGTGTGGAAACTTCAACTTCCAAATCTAATATTCAATCTAGTGACTCTAGTCGACTTGGTAATCGTATTGAATATTGTAGTTGGAGTTTTTAGTATACGGTGGAAGTTGAAACTGCGTGGAAAGTTTCTATCAGATTAAAAAATGGTTGAGTGGTCGTAAATTAGTCAAAATAAGAAGCCGGAATATCCCGAATGACTAATATATACTATCTATAGCAGTGCTCTTCAACCGGGTATACGGTATATCCAAGTGTATACCAGACCATAAGTTGGGTATACAACACCACATAATTTTGATGACGTCATAGCAAAAAATAAAAGTAATAGACCTCTCTCAAAAAATATATTCTTTACTCACTGAAAATTTCAAAGCAATTGGTCCAGTAATCAAAGAGAAAAGCGATTACTTCAAAACGTGTCAAAGAACAACATAACAACAATCGCTATCTCCATTACGTGTCCAACAAGAACAACAACAACAACATAATATTGAAACGATCGTTATGTCCACTACGTGTCCAATAAAATATTCAAGCGGAGATAACAATGCGCACGCGGCGCACATGAAATATAAAATGTCATTTACGCAAAGAACCGACTTGAGCACATTGTTACATCACAAATTATATAGATAATGCGGGTTGGTGATTTCGGCTGCCTTGCACTTCGTTTGATTTACGCTGAACAATATTCCCGTTGATGGTAAGGCCGTCAGTCAAATTTATAGCTTGCGGACACTAGCCTATTAGATTGCATGTTGATATTTGCTGTACAATATGTGCTTAAAATTTTAAGTTTATTTAAGCCCTAAATAAACAATGGTATTTGTAAGGTATACAAAGTTCCTGAAAAATTGTAAAAGGTATACCACGATGAACAAGGTTGAAGAACAGTGAACACTATCTATAGATGTTGCAATATCACGTATTTCAGGGGTCGGCAACTGAATTATAGTAACAAAACACCTGTTTTGACGATTATATTCTTACGTAACATAATTGATCGTGAGACACGTGTAGACTAAATTATATTATATTCTAACAAGTATATTATTTAGCAATTACTCGTTTAATAAGCCTACAATTTAATTATAATTAGATACATGGCAACAAAACGCAGAAAAGTTGATGCTAAGTGCAAAGGGTTCAATGGCGACAAAAATATTCAAATAGAATTTTTTTAGATGCAATGCAATGAGGAAATATATCTATATTCTATATGAGACATGTATCGCTGCTAGATTTTTATTATGAAAGTATCATCCGTTCAAGTTTTCAACTTTCTAAAAATATGTCCGGCCCGCCAATGACTTGCAACCCTTGATTTTGGCCCGCGAGCGACAAAAGGTTCCGACCCCTGACGTATTTGATATGTTTCTGGTAATGCACTCGTAAACCGGAAACAAACGTCATACACATCCCTATCCAGTTTTGCTAGAATATGCTTGTGATCATGTAAATAAACATTCCTGTACAGCCTGCGCTTTCAAAACCCAAGATTACTGCAATTTTTAATAATTTGTTCTATTTTAACCTCACTGTAAAATTTCCAAATGATTCCATCCAGAACTCACAAGCAGATGTGCACGAACTGTGGGAAGCAGTACAATGAAAAATATATCGATGCAGTGATTCAATATTCGTTTTACAAAAAGAGAAGGAATCCTAGCTTGTTATCAAGTAAATTTGGCAAAAAATAATCAAATTCGATCCTCAGAGTTTATACAAGTTGTTGCTCATTGGACAAAAATTGTTTTTCTTTTCTATTGAAGCCTGTTGATTTACTACAATTATCTTGTTTTGAAAAAGCCACAGAGTGATTTCCCATTTATAAATACCAAATCAGCGAATGTGGTATTTTTAGGGTAGAAACTAGTATAAGGTGAGATTACAAATAGATTGAATGAATACAATACTCCACAAACCTTTACACACTACACAGCCAAATGAAGGTGAAGAATTACTACCAGTGGTGGCACTAGAAGGTCACTCAGCAAAATTTCGAATATTCAACAATACTCTCGAATGTTGGAACGTTTTATGTCTGAAGAAATTGCCACCAGCAAGAAAGTACTGTGACAAATATCTCATTTTAGTGGAACAAACACGGCAAACAGGTTTATTAAATGAGAGAATAATTTTATTCGTAATTCTGCAGGCTATCGTTTTTCATTTTTCTGATTGAAAAAAAATGAAACTTGACTATGATAACGTATGCGTATTTCGAAATCATCAATGTATTCAGTATCATATGTGTTTGAATGATGTTTTAAGTCCAACTTCAAGTGTGATCCTTAATTTCGTTTCAATTCTGGGTTATCATCACAACAATTGGACCTTCAGAAGTATATGCACCAAAGTCAGGGTTCAGGTTGTGCGCCATCTTGGTTTTGCCAGCTTAGACTGGCGGGCCATGTAAGTGTGACGTAACAATATTTACAGTGTTACAAAAGCAAAAGTGGAAAACAATATTCCTCAAGCTATTTGTTTTAGCAAAAACATTAAAATTTGGTTTTATTTTTAGTTGTGGCAGCATCAGGCGGGTCAGAGTGAATTTTTCAACGGGCCGGATTTGTCCCATGTCAGGTCTAACCCATATAAAACACATAAAAACATCAAATGTAAAGTTCAACGTTTTATTGAAAAAAAGATTCAAATAAAGAAAACTCATAAAATGACGTGGATGTAACGAAGGAAGGTAATAAAGGAACATACTTTAAAATACTGTTTAAAACACACGATTTATATTTCAAACTAGCTTTAACATGTCTTCATCTTTTTAATCATATATATATATATATATATATTGCATTCTCAGTGGGAAATTTCAGGAAAAAATGGAGAAGGAATGTGTATCGAAAATAACTAGTCTCAGTAACATTCACACAAATTAATTCAAAGCTAACGTTTTACCAAACTGGTGTGGTCAATCAACGTTTTGTAAATTTTGAATTCTATAATACTAAAAACGTCATTAAATGAATATAAAAATTGGGATGATTGCATTTTGTGGCAGCATAGAAAGTTGTAATCTGAACTATGCATAATTACAGATCACAAAAAATCACGAATTAGGTAAATTGACAAAATATTCAGAAAATGGGAGCGCAGTCCTGTTTTCCATACTGTTCGATAGGCCTCCGTTTGCATTATGAAGAAATTTTCCGAGTTCCGGTCGATGTTTTTCTACAGTATGTACATCACTACCCAAGTGTGGCTGGGCCCTTGTATGCCGTTGTTTAGCACTATGTGTCCTTGGAAAGGTACTGGTTTCCCCGCTACCGTCATATCGGTATGTTTCTTCTAATGGAAACAAGTCTGTTGGACGTTCCAACATCATATCGCTTTCTCGATCGTCCGCAACTAAAGTTGGGTCCGACATACCAGAGTAACTTTGTTGTCTTGTGTGATATCCGGGTCGCGAAAAGCCATTAGGGGTAGACGGAGTCGATGAGAAGACACCATTGGTGTACTCGTTGCCAACTGGGGACGGATGTGATGACGAAGACGAGGAACAAGAAGAGCATATGCTTCCCATATCCAAGTTTGCTTCTCTTTGACTTTCAGTTTTTAAATGTTTCACCCACATCTCTGATTCGTATATGGTTGGCGCAACAAATCGAAACATTGCCGAAGTAGCAAAGTCGACAACCTCAAAACAACCTCCTGTTGTTTTGGTGACTTTGGCTCGACTGACTGGAAGAACACATCGAGGTTTTCCACAAGTCGGGACATCAGGATTTGTTCCGCCTGTTTGTGAATGAAAATAACATTAAATTAAATGGAAGTAACTTTAAATTTGACCACAAGCTAATAAAAATAGTGTTAATTACAGTGAAAATTTTTTCAAATATGCTGTTATCTTAAAAATCGATGGAAACCTGATATGACACAAACCTAATATTTTTATTCCCCAATGAAAGTATTGACATTGACTACGTCATAATAATAACCTACCTATTTTTATAAAACCTCACGTTGATGGTATTATTATTGTATAATAGTAATTTTATTATAATATATCAATAAAAAGTCACACATGAATAGTCAAAAATAGTTTATTGTCAAATATACACGGGGCCACCCAAGACATAAACTTAGTCCGTCCAGTTTGATGTATTGTTTTCGCCCTAACGGATCCTTCCGATATATAATAAAGTATATGAAAAGAAACATTAAAAAGTCCACCGCTACCTAACATATGAAACATAAATTTTTCATATATATGAACTTGCCAATTGGCACGATTTTTATTTTAACTTCGCCACAAAATTCATATTTTGACCATTAACACCAACCTTGTAAGTTTGCCGTCGGACTTCGAGGAGATTTTCCTGGCGTTGGGTTTATGATTTTGTTCCAAACAAGAAAAGGACTTGTATCATTTGTATAGAGAGTAACTTGGCACAATTTGGGTTTAACACGTTTCTTCTTCCACGGCTCGTAGATCTGAAAAAATACAAAAATAAGTTATTGAGACTATTCAATGGCGAAGCTATAACCAGTAATATCATTCGTGTCGGAGCGTTACACGTACTACTATTGCCTGTCTCAAAACAAACAACTTTGATAATGTAATTATGCGATTATTTTGCTCTGTGAAAATACTTGATATAGATTGTTGGAAGGCATAACCAAATTTGCTTTATTGTAATCGTATAGAATAATATGCAAATTAGAAGAAATCGCTGATATCAAACGCATCTTCAAAAACTGCTGTAGTATCCAAACTCTTCCTTATAAAATAAACTTTAGCCAACAGTTCAAAGTCCGTCCACAAAATCAATAATAATAATGGCATTTTATGCGTGATGCTGATTTCAACTTAAAACCCGAAAAGGAAAAGCATGCATTATCGAAAATGAAAAGCACGTTCTGATTACTTATGAACGATATCAAACGGTATTTATTGTCATGTTTAATTTTATATTGTTAAGATTTAAATATTGTCGGAATATTTGTCAGATACTGACAATCAATTTAGTTGTTACGTAAATTACTTGGCTTTTGACATGTTAATAACGCAACTGAAATCATTAATTTTCAATTTCATGTTTTTATTTCTTAACAATAATGCAAACACCTTTCAGTATGTCAGAATAAAAATTTTGAACAGACTTTGTTTATGTGAGTGCATTGAATAACTTATGCTTTAATTTTTGTATTTTTCTTCGGCTTTTTATACAAATTTTCAGAATCAATATTGTTCACACAGCAAATATGAGTAAAATACGAACGAATGCACAACATAATTCAACTTAATAACTTCCTTGATGGCGCGACGAAATGATTTCCGAAACTTTATAAAAGCTGACAAAGTTTTCTCTAAATATAGTTTCGCTTATTGTCAAATCCAATTCACTATGCATTTTTGTGGTTGAAAAGTTCCCTATATTTGGCGAACGATACCATTCTTGTTCATACAAAACAAAGTATGAGTCCTAGCATGGCCTACATATGGTAAGCAACATTATAACGAAGTATCAAGAGAGTTTAATAGCGATGGAAATAAGTTTTGAATCCAAGATCGAAATTATAAAGAAAAATCAATGTTATTCATATTAATGTGATAAAGCGTGTCACTGTGTTTTCTGTCCGCTTGTTTTGCTATTATTTGCTGTTCTAGTAAAGTCCAATTGGTTCCCCGGGAGGCGGTGAAGACGCGGAATTGTCTGGTCGCACCTTTCATTGGATAATTCAAGTTCTAAAGTTCGTTTGTATATATGTGTTAGGTAAGAATAAAGTAGCAGGAACTTGCGACGTGGATATAGTATCCAGCGTTTTCATCAGAGCGAATATTGAAAGTGTTGACTGTAGTGAAGTCACAGTCGTTACATGTCAGTGAATTGCGTTATTTAGTGTTCACTGTAGTATTTATGAGCAAGATAGTGAACAAGTATATAACATAATGGAAGCGAGGTGTTGTTTATTTCGAGTCTTTCCACAAAACTTTTATCATAAATACATAATTGAATTATAAATAATGTCAAACTACGTGTGGTCTTAGTTGTTTGTAGCTTGAGTTGCTTTGTGGAACATTAGTTTATGAAAATTAAGCCAAACAAAACTTTTGAATGAATACTTTTAACTAAATGTATTAAACAGAATTTGTTCGCGTCAATGAAACTTCCGTTCCCACGATCAAGAATGCGGCCTTTGATAATCTCACATCTACGGGGATTACTGTAGTTCTAGGGATCAGAGAAATAGAAGAAATCTAAGACAGATATATCGCCGGGCGTGATAAAACGTAGACTAGACGATTTTTATGATAGGGAGTACATGTTAGTCACATATCAGGATATAATAAACTTGGTGACTTTGATTGTTCTGTATATACTTGTGATAAGACTGGCCCTCGACAACATAAACTAATATTTACTGAACCATAAGTTTCCAGAAATGTTTTACATGCAAGTTGATATATTTCTCAGAATGCCTAATTAATTAATGACTAATTAATGAAAAAAGAATCGATATTTTTGAAATACAAAAATATACACAACATGATTTATCATGATCACGTCATTTACACAACCATAAACTATGTTCCTAGGCGCAATCGGGCTCGGGTCAAGGATCAGACACGCTTTCCTGAACGAATATCAAAATCATTTTTACACTGACGATATTTGTTATGATACATTCTGAGTTGAAATATTGAATTGCTTCACATCAGTCACAAGTACGAAACTCCATACGACTTCCCATTTTAGAATAATTACAGACTTTGGGATAAGAGTTGGTTGTTTTTGAGACTACGTTACCTTCTAAACAGTTATTTTCAGAGGCATGAATAATTTATTTCTGAATCGATGTGGCCACAACGGACCAATGATGTTTGAATTTAAATTTAGTGTTCTATTAAAAATTGTACACATCATGTAATTTAAAATTTTAATTTATAATGAATATGTCTCACGAAGATTATTTGTTACATATATGCATTTTTAGCAGTGAAATCTGGAAAAAAATCATGAAATCGAGTTGTGTTATTGACCAGTATAAATGGCGAAATAACTAATATTCAATACAACATACCTGTAAATTACATTGTAGTACTGGAACGCTGACCTGTATGCTTGTAAATAAACTGTGTTGGTCAACTTTCGGTCTGCCTGATCCTGATCTGAAGATCGAGCCAAGTGGAGGCATGGCGTCCTTATTCCGAGGCACGATGATGCCAGTCAGTTTTCAAGAATGGCGAATGTAAAAGTAACTTAAGTATAGTATCTTTACAAATTCTTCCTCAGCTGTATGGCATATGATTCAAGTATAACAGCACCACACGAAGTCATTAAAATAGTTATATAGGTTAGTACTACCGACTGCAACAAAGAGCATAATCATAATAAAAAATCGTTAAACGTTATCAATTGGTGTCAACAAAATGCTTCCGCGGCGACTATCAATTCTACTACCTTCTATGTTAACGGTAGCCTGTTTTTTAAAACAAGGAACTCGTGCGAAATTGATCGCTGTTTTAGACGTAATGATCGGGACTAGCCTACGCAGCAAATTGTCACGACAGAGAAAGTATTGATCGCGACTTTCTGTTAATTTAGTACAGTAGCAAAAATACAAAAACACGATTCTGGCATTCCGGCTGGTTACAAAATATAACCGATCGATAATGAGTGGCGTAAAAAGTACCGGCAGAAAACTTGATATCGAATACCGGAGGGTGTAGGTCGTTTGGTTGGACTACACTGCTCGGTTCATACTCAATAAAAGTGGACTTGAAATAATTGCTGCGTTTCAACAATACACCAAACATCACTGACTATGCAAGAATTTATAGCTTCTTCATCGGCTCCGTCGAATACATTTCCTTATAAGGCAAACTGCCAGAAATACAAAAACTAAGTGTGAGAAAGTCGATCTTGAGTTCAATTGCGCAGTATACTTGTATTTAAAACAATATTATTAGGCATAAATCCGTAAAGATATTTAAATTTTAATGTCTCAACATTTTCAAATATTTCAATATAACTTTGGGATGCATAATTCACGCAAGGGAGTGAATGCTTCAATGTAAACTGATAAAATAAACTTTGATAATAGTCTCTTCTAAAACTTTAAAACTCAAGACTAAAACATCCTGAAAATTAAGTTGTTTCATTTTAGGACAAAAACAACCATTTCACGCGCAAGAGAAAAAACGAATGCGCATATCATGTGCAGATCGCTAGTGGGTCGTACCCGGCACGAATATGAACAAGCGCAAATTTTTCGGAGATGAAATATCAGAGTTGAAGCTATAGTTTATCGGCGATGCGTGGCGCTTCGTGAGATTTGAGCATTTTGGGTAAATACAGCACATTGCGTCATTTCTTTAGTAATTTTGTTTTGACTACTAGCTCCGTAGTGACAAATAGATGGACCTCTTGACACCGGTACTTTAAGGCTTAGTTCTTCACAAGGACATGTGATCTTATTCTACCTACGTTGGTCATGCGACTAACGTTTGAAAAAAATCTGATAAAACGTTTACAATCTTTATGTAAACTTTTTTAGCAATTATTATTGGTCAGAAATTATCAATGAATTATTATAATATGATATACTTTGGAATGGTGGCAGCTTTACCTGTTATCTACTAACATATTATCAGCGACGTAACAAAATGACCTTCATTATGTCCTTTATCCGGATTTTCTTCCGGTTTCACAATGAAAAGGATTTTCGTCAATGGCCTAGATAGGCCAGATAAATATGGCTTACTCTTAATAACCGGAATAGCTAGAGATTACTTGCTGTAATGATACATAACAGTTTAATGTTATAATAATACATATATCTTGCAGAAGTCTGAGATGATGGCTCACCCTCGGATGCGTTAAAGAGTTCGCTGTTTTTTCCTGCTGCTTTGCTAAAGAACTGAGTTAGACCATTTGCCGATCACGCGCAAAATTTATCCATCTTCATTATTCACTGGCGCCAATCTTGACTGCAAACGGTGAAATTTTATTCTCAAAAAAGTCTAACCCCTCAAATCTATCAGCAAAGAACATACGCTGACCTACTTTCGCCGCGCTTAATGCGCTACTTGCAAGCGAATACGATGTAATGCTAACGAAATATAACATCAATAATATTACCGCGCTTGAAAAAAGAGGCTTAAATTATTCATACGGATTACAAAGGTTTGCGTGCAAAACGCAGTTTCTAGTTTAATGGGTTGGCATACCAAGTATTCCATTCGTCTCAATTAACAAACCCTGCTAAATGCAATGATTGTTCAAACATGATCTCAGTATAAAGTAAAACAGAATCAATCCTCGAGGATTAAACTACAAATAAAAGAATTGTAACAATAAATAAATATAATGTTTAATACAACATAATATTTAATAACGATAAGTTTTTATGTAAACTTGGTCGATATAAATTTATTTAAAAAAAAAACCGGTATTTTCCTGTACCCGTGTTTCTTTTCTGTGACAAGTTCTATATCATTTTAGAAAGAATTTATCGGTGAAGTGGTTACAAATTATTTAATAACGAGTAACAGTAGCAATTCTATCAAACGACCTAAGTTGAGGTTTGTCCCTGACATATTTTCCGTTAATGATAATCTCGTCTATTTAAGCAAGTTGAAATTAATCTTGGTAATGAACATGTTTATCTATGATAAACATGCAACAGCAAACAACACCTTGCAATTTTTTCTGAGTAAAATATCAATCATTGATAAGCTACAATATTGGACTGACTACTAGAATTCTACTGAAAATTCGAGCCTGTTCCGAGTAAGTTGTCAAATTTATCATTATTGTACATGTATGACTTCTAAAATAAAATGTAGCTTCGTCATTCACTGTATGCAACAGCCATGCTTGTATCAAATCTACAATGACTAACAAAGAATAAATGACTAAAATCCTCTTGGGACGTGATCATTGTAAAACTTCATCTGGTGGATTAGCCGTGCTGCCCTTAATCTAGTCCTCAAATCCTTTTCTTAGCAAAAGAGAACGAAACAAGTCTTCGAACAGCGGCGGCTCTTGACATTTATTGCATTTCAAAGAAAAGGGGAATGATTAATTCGATTTCGACAATTTTCTTTTACGATACCAACGACGCTGTTGATTTTAGTGGAATGCTATTTAATGGTTTAAATATTCACCGCTACTGACAGTATTCATATTATAATTTATACCAACCTTTCTTCTAATGGAAACAAGTCTGTTGGACGTTCCAACATCATATCGCTTTCTCGATCGTCCGCAACTAAAGTTGGGTCCGACATACCAGAGTAACTTTGTTGTCTTGTGTGATATCCGGGTCGCGAAAAGCCATTAGGGGTAGACGGAGTCGATGAGAAGACACCATTGGTGTACTCGTTGCCAACTGGGGACGGATGTGATGACGAAGACGAGGAACAAGAAGAGCATATGCTTCCCATATCCAAGTTTGCTTCTCTTTGACTTTCAGTTTTTAAATGTTTCACCCACATCTCTGATTCGTATATGGTTGGCGCAACAAATCGAAACATTGCCGAAGTAGCAAAGTCGACAACCTCAAAACAACCTCCTGTTGTTTTGGTGACTTTGGCTCGACTGACTGGAAGAACACATCGAGGTTTTCCACAAGTCGGGACATCAGGATTTGTTCCGCCTGTTTGTGAATGAAAATAACATTAAATTAAATGGAAGTAACTTTAAATTTGACCACAAGCTAATAAAAATAGTGTTAATTACAGTGAAAATTTTTTCAAATATGCTGTTATCTTAAAATCGATGGAAACCTGATATGACACAAACCTAATATTTTTATTCCCCAATGAAAGTATTGACATTGACTACGTCATAATAATAACCTACCTATTTTTATAAAACCTCACGTTGATGGTATTATTATTGTATAATAGTAATTTTATTATAATATATCAATAAAAAGTCACACATGAATAGTCAAAAATAGTTTATTGTCAAATATACACGGGGCCACCCAAGACATAAACTTAGTCCGTCCAGTTTGATGTATTGTTTTCGCCCTAACGGATCCTTCCGATATATAATAAAGTATATGAAAAGAAACATTAAAAAGTCCACCGCTACCTAACATATGAAACATAAATTTTTCATATATATGAACTTGCCAATTGGCACGATTTTTTATTTTAACTTCGCCACAAAATTCATATTTTGACCATTAACACCAACCTTGTAAGTTTGCCGTCGGACTTCGAGGAGATTTTCCTGGCGTTGGGTTTATGATTTTGTTCCAAACAAGAAAAGGACTTGTATCATTTGTATAGAGAGTAACTTGGCACAATTTGGGTTTAACACGTTTCTTCTTCCACGGCTCGTAGATCTGAAAAAATACAAAAATAAGTTATTGAGACTATTCAATGGCGAAGCTATAACCAGTAATATCATTCGTGTCGGAGCGTTACACGTACTACTATTGCCTGTCTCAAAACAAACAACTTTGATAATGTAATTATGCGATTATTTTGCTCTGTGAAAATACTTGATATAGATTGTTGGAAGGCATAACCAAATTTGCTTTATTGTAATCGTATAGAATAATATGCAAATTAGAAGAAATCGCTGATATCAAACGCATCTTCAAAAACTGCTGTAGTATCCAAACTCTTCCTTATAAAATAAACTTTAGCCAACAGTTCAAAGTCCGTCCACAAAATCAATAATAATAATGGCATTTTATGCGTGATGCTGATTTCAACTTAAAACCCGAAAAGGAAAAGCATGCATTATCGAAAATGAAAAGCACGTTCTGATTACTTATGAACGATATCAAACGGTATTTATTGTCATGTTTAATTTTATATTGTTAAGATTTAAATATTGTCGGAATATTTGTCAGATACTGACAATCAATTTAGTTGTTACGTAAATTACTTGGCTTTTGACATGTTAATAACGCAACTGAAATCATTAATTTTCAATTTCATGTTTTTATTTCTTAACAATAATGCAAACACCTTTCAGTATGTCAGAATAAAAATTTTGAACAGACTTTGTTTATGTGAGTGCATTGAATAACTTATGCTTTAATTTTTGTATTTTTCTTCGGCTTTTTATACAAATTTTCAGAATCAATATTGTTCACACAGCAAATATGAGTAAAATACGAACGAATGCACAACATAATTCAACTTAATAACTTCCTTGATGGCGCGACGAAATGATTTCCGAAACTTTATAAAAGCTGACAAAGTTTTCTCTAAATATAGTTTCGCTTATTGTCAAATCCAATTCACTATGCATTTTTGTGGTTGAAAAGTTCCCTATATTTGGCGAACGATACCATTCTTGTTCATACAAAACAAAGTATGAGTCCTAGCATGGCCTACATATGGTAAGCAACATTATAACGAAGTATCAAGAGAGTTTAATAGCGATGGAAATAAGTTTTGAATCCAAGATCGAAATTATAAAGAAAAATCAATGTTATTCATATTAATGTGATAAAGCGTGTCACTGTGTTTTCTGTCCGCTTGTTTTGCTATTATTTGCTGTTCTAGTAAAGTCCAATTGGTTCCCCGGGAGGCGGTGAAGACGCGGAATTGTCTGGTCGCACCTTTCATTGGATAATTCAAGTTCTAAAGTTCGTTTGTATATATGTGTTAGGTAAGAATAAAGTAGCAGGAACTTGCGACGTGGATATAGTATCCAGCGTTTTCATCAGAGCGAATATTGAAAGTGTTGACTGTAGTGAAGTCACAGTCGTTACATGTCAGTGAATTGCGTTATTTAGTGTTCACTGTAGTATTTATGAGCAAGATAGTGAACAAGTATATAACATAATGGAAGCGAGGTGTTGTTTATTTCGAGTCTTTCCACAAAACTTTTATCATAAATACATAATTGAATTATAAATAATGTCAAACTACGTGTGGTCTTAGTTGTTTGTAGCTTGAGTTGCTTTGTGGAACATTAGTTTATGAAAATTAAGCCAAACAAAACTTTTGAATGAATACTTTTAACTAAATGTATTAAACAGAATTTGTTCGCGTCAATGAAACTTCCGTTCCCACGATCAAGAATGCGGCCTTTGATAATCTCACATCTACGGGGATTACTGTAGTTCTAGGGATCAGAGAAATAGAAGAAATCTAAGACAGATATATCGCCGGGCGTGATAAAACGTAGACTAGACGATTTTTATGATAGGGAGTACATGTTAGTCACATATCAGGATATAATAAACTTGGTGACTTTGATTGTTCTGTATATACTTGTGATAAGACTGGCCCTCGACAACATAAACTAATATTTACTGAACCATAAGTTTCCAGAAATGTTTTACATGCAAGTTGATATATTTCTCAGAATGCCTAATTAATTAATGACTAATTAATGAAAAAAGAATCGATATTTTTGAAATACAAAAATATACACAACATGATTTATCATGATCACGTCATTTACACAACCATAAACTATGTTCCTAGGCGCAATCGGGCTCGGGTCAAGGATCAGACACGCTTTCCTGAACGAATATCAAAATCATTTTACACTGACGATATTTGTTATGATACATTCTGAGTTGAAATATTGAATTGCTTCACATCAGTCACAAGTACGAAACTCCATACGACTTCCCATTTTAGAATAATTACAGACTTTGGGATAAGAGTTGGTTGTTTTTGAGACTACGTTACCTTCTAAACAGTTATTTTCAGAGGCATGAATAATTTATTTCTGAATCGATGTGGCCACAACGGACCAATGATGTTTGAATTTAAATTTAGTGTTCTATTAAAAATTGTACACATCATGTAATTTAAAATTTTAATTTATAATGAATATGTCTCACGAAGATTATTTGTTACATATATGCATTTTTAGCAGTGAAATCTGGAAAAAAATCATGAAATCGAGTTGTGTTATTGACCAGTATAAATGGCGAAATAACTAATATTCAATACAACATACCTGTAAATTACATTGTAGTACTGGAACGCTGACCTGTATGCTTGTAAATAAACTGTGTTGGTCAACTTTCGGTCTGCCTGATCCTGATCTGAAGATCGAGCCAAGTGGAGGCATGGCGTCCTTATTCCGAGGCACGATGATGCCAGTCAGTTTTCAAGAATGGCGAATGTAAAAGTAACTTAAGTATAGTATCTTTACAAATTCTTCCTCAGCTGTATGGCATATGATTCAAGTATAACAGCACCACACGAAGTCATTAAAATAGTTATATAGGTTAGTACTACCGACTGCAACAAAGAGCATAATCATAATAAAAAATCGTTAAACGTTATCAATTGGTGTCAACAAAATGCTTCCGCGGCGACTATCAATTCTACTACCTTCTATGTTAACGGTAGCCTGTTTTTTAAAACAAGGAACTCGTGCGAAATTGATCGCTGTTTTAGACGTAATGATCGGGACTAGCCTACGCAGCAAATTGTCACGACAGAGAAAGTATTGATCGCGACTTTCTGTTAATTTAGTACAGTAGCAAAAATACAAAAACACGATTCTGGCATTCCGGCTGGTTACAAAATATAACCGATCGATAATGAGTGGCGTAAAAAGTACCGGCAGAAAACTTGATATCGAATACCGGAGGGTGTAGGTCGTTTGGTTGGACTACACTGCTCGGTTCATACTCAATAAAAGTGGACTTGAAATAATTGCTGCGTTTCAACAATACACCAAACATCACTGACTATGCAAGAATTTATAGCTTCTTCATCGGCTCCGTCGAATACATTTCCTTATAAGGCAAACTGCCAGAAATACAAAAACTAAGTGTGAGAAAGTCGATCTTGAGTTCAATTGCGCAGTATACTTGTATTTAAAACAATATTATTAGGCATAAATCCGTAAAGATATTTAAATTTTAATGTCTCAACATTTTCAAATATTTCAATATAACTTTGGGATGCATAATTCACGCAAGGGAGTGAATGCTTCAATGTAAACTGATAAAATAAACTTTGATAATAGTCTCTTCTAAAACTTTAAAACTCAAGACTAAAACATCCTGAAAATTAAGTTGTTTCATTTTAGGACAAAAACAACCATTTCACGCGCAAGAGAAAAAACGAATGCGCATATCATGTGCAGATCGCTAGTGGGTCGTACCCGGCACGAATATGAACAAGCGCAAATTTTTCGGAGATGAAATATCAGAGTTGAAGCTATAGTTTATCGGCGATGCGTGGCGCTTCGTGAGATTTGAGCATTTTGGGTAAATACAGCACATTGCGTCATTTCTTTAGTAATTTTGTTTTGACTACTAGCTCCGTAGTGACAAATAGATGGACCTCTTGACACCGGTACTTTAAGGCTTAGTTCTTCACAAGGACATGTGATCTTATTCTACCTACGTTGGTCATGCGACTAACGTTTGAAAAAAATCTGATAAAACGTTTACAATCTTTATGTAAACTTTTTTAGCAATTATTATTGGTCAGAAATTATCAATGAATTATTATAATATGATATACTTTGGAATGGTGGCAGCTTTACCTGTTATCTACTAACATATTATCAGCGACGTAACAAAATGACCTTCATTATGTCCTTTATCCGGATTTTCTTCCGGTTTCACAATGAAAAGGATTTTCGTCAATGGCCTAGATAGGCCAGATAAATATGGCTTACTCTTAATAACCGGAATAGCTAGAGATTACTTGCTGTAATGATACATAACAGTTTAATGTTATAATAATACATATATCTTGCAGAAGTCTGAGATGATGGCTCACCCTCGGATGCGTTAAAGAGTTCGCTGTTTTTTCCTGCTGCTTTGCTAAAGAACTGAGTTAGACCATTTGCCGATCACGCGCAAAATTTATCCATCTTCATTATTCACTGGCGCCAATCTTGACTGCAAACGGTGAAATTTTATTCTCAAAAAAGTCTAACCCCTCAAATCTATCAGCAAAGAACATACGCTGACCTACTTTCGCCGCGCTTAATGCGCTACTTGCAAGCGAATACGATGTAATGCTAACGAAATATAACATCAATAATATTACCGCGCTTGAAAAAAGAGGCTTAAATTATTCATACGGATTACAAAGGTTTGCGTGCAAAACGCAGTTTCTAGTTTAATGGGTTGGCATACCAAGTATTCCATTCGTCTCAATTAACAAACCCTGCTAAATGCAATGATTGTTCAAACATGATCTCAGTATAAAGTAAAACAGAATCAATCCTCGAGGATTAAACTACAAATAAAAGAATTGTAACAATAAATAAATATAATGTTTAATACAACATAATATTTAATAACGATAAGTTTTTATGTAAACTTGGTCGATATAAATTTATTTAAAAAAAAACCGGTATTTTCCTGTACCCGTGTTTCTTTTCTGTGACAAGTTCTATATCATTTTAGAAAGAATTTATCGGTGAAGTGGTTACAAATTATTTAATAACGAGTAACAGTAGCAATTCTATCAAACGACCTAAGTTGAGGTTTGTCCCTGACATATTTTCCGTTAATGATAATCTCGTCTATTTAAGCAAGTTGAAATTAATCTTGGTAATGAACATGTTTATCTATGATAAACATGCAACAGCAAACAACACCTTGCAATTTTTTCTGAGTAAAATATCAATCATTGATAAGCTACAATATTGGACTGACTACTAGAATTCTACTGAAAATTCGAGCCTGTTCCGAGTAAGTTGTCAAATTTATCATTATTGTACATGTATGACTTCTAAAATAAAATGTAGCTTCGTCATTCACTGTATGCAACAGCCATGCTTGTATCAAATCTACAATGACTAACAAAGAATAAATGACTAAAATCCTCTTGGGACGTGATCATTGTAAAACTTCATCTGGTGGATTAGCCGTGCTGCCCTTAATCTAGTCCTCAAATCCTTTTCTTAGCAAAAGAGAACGAAACAAGTCTTCGAACAGCGGCGGCTCTTGACATTTATTGCATTTCAAAGAAAAGGGGAATGATTAATTCGATTTCGACAATTTTCTTTTACGATACCAACGACGCTGTTGATTTTAGTGGAATGCTATTTAATGGTTTAAATATTCACCGCTACTGACAGTATTCATATTATAATTTATACCAACCTTTAGAAATAATGTAATCGTGACAATGACATTTAAATAGAAGGGTTGGGAAATGTAGAAGACGACTCCTCAATAGAAACAGGTAATAAATAAAACGACGGGCAAGGTAAATATGTCATTTATATGGTCCATAAACCAATAACCTTTTCTTCAAACCAATTATTGGCTTTTTCTCTTCAAAATCATTTTATAATGTTATATTTGAACGTTATAATTGTACTTGGAAAATTGAGTTTCGGAAACGGATATAAAATTCGGCTGTGTGGGCAAAGGTGACAGAGTTCAAAATATACTTGTAAAACGAGAGTAATGGCTACAATTTGATTTAATTGCAAAAATTACATCGATAATTGAAGAATCTGTGAAAAAATTCTTGTATTATGCAACAATATGGAATATAACAATAATTAACGATCAAGAAAATTTTTTATTCGTCAGGTAAAATTCAGTTGAACGATTATCTACTATCGACATTGATGAATAGACATCAAGTTCTTTCATGATTTAGCCAAGAAATTAATACATGAATGCCAGGTAAAGTTGCTGATATTTAATGTACAATGACCACATGATGTTAGTGTGAGTAATTGTACAATTACTGCTTGTTGAGTTGTTTTGCAAAAATAACAAAACGATGGAATAATAATATTAGAATGATTTATAATCTTTTTTTTACAAACTTACAATGAGCAGATGGGAAGGTCGAATCGGTCATGTTTCCGTTTTGACCTTTGGCATTTACGATAACATTACAACGAAATTTCCAATTATTCGTGAACAACACAGAATTAAATTACGAGGATATAATTTTCCTAATTTTATACTCTCAAAAACGAAGTACTTTACACTGATTTGAACAATAAACACACGATTATATTAAAACTAAAGCTGAAAACTATCTCGTCTTTATTGACGTAAATGTATAACCGTATCTTATCAGTCAAATATTTCAGTATTTGCAATTTCTGCATCAACGTCAAATACATTACACTGATTACATAGTGTATATCGCTTTCCCCATTAACTACTGGACCAATTGCCTTGACATTTTTAGTGTTTAAAATTTTTTTGAGTTCGGTCTTGTCGTTTAAACGGCAACACTTCATGGTAAGGCAACTAATAGCGTCATTAATTAACTTATTTTAAGACCGTAATTGATTTTGTTTCCTATAAACTAACACAATAAATCAGTTTGAAAATCAGTTTTGGTTAGACACAAACTGGAAGAACGATATACCCGTCAAAATGAAAATATTCCAATTTAATAACAGTATTAGGTAAATCCGCTACTCTTGTCAAAACACAGAAACATGTATCATCTTCAAATAAACCGATACAAAATATATTAGTAAATTTGTTCTAAACTTTTAATGTTCAATGTTATAATATTTTTGACAGTTTATCTGAAAATTCGACACCAACAACTTGTCGACTTTCTAAAATATCGTCGTCGGATAGTTGAAGCAAGGTCTAATAACAAACCGATTTGTGCTTGTGCGTGAATGTATTAAACTTTTCAGCTGAGCACACACTGTCAAGCATGGCCTTTCAAAGTAACGTATATTGCAGAAATACGCTCTCCTCAATGTTGAATCAGTCTTCATAGATAACATTGGAATCTTCTCCGTTTACATTCTCACAGTCGACACACAGAGCTCACTATACAGCTATAAGGGTGACAGGAAATATCATATCGACATAGGAAACATGGTTAGGATATATCAGCGGTTTCATATTTTGGCGGCAAACGGTTTCATTTAAATTCAACCAACATGTGAACACATTCCAATCCGTTTTGATTTCCTCTATACACGCACGTAATATTTGTGGTTACGGTATATACGCAAGATACCCAGAAATGAATGGAAAAACAATTTTCTCCCGTAAACAACTTGTTAGAAACCAGCGCTGCGTAATAAACTAGGCCAGAAAAGTTCTATTTAAATTTCAATATCAAGTAATACTGTAATATTTCATTCATATGTTATGCCACATGTACTAATGTCTGCCGGTACTAATCTTTAACAACTTGTCTGGTATAAGAATTACCAATTACATCCTCCACAACCGAATTTAAACGGTAGATGAAGACCGGACGTCAACGCGATTTTCTACCGGTATCGATTTTCGCTGAAGATATATATCAATAATGAGCCCCATCGATATCCAAAACGACAATGCTTTTCCGCAGGTTCATGTATTATGCAAACTCAAAAACTATCCTTTCACCTTTCTTCTCAAGAAATGAACTGGTCCTGTAGACTTTTGTCACGGACAGTACGCAGTACTGTTATAGGGTACGACACATATTAAATTTAGACAACAATGTGCATAAAAGAGTAATCCACAATACGTCAAAATCCTGAATGGTATACTGCATCTCAAGTTCAGCGCTAGACCACGCCTCCCCGGGTTCTAAAACGACACTGCGTTGAATTCGAGAAGGTACTGCTATTTCTGGCGACGAAGAGAAAGGAAATGGTGGCGACGAGTGCGCTCATTCAAAGATAAAAAAGATAGAAACATGATGAAAATGAGTAAGAGACAAAACGATATTTTTGTACGAATACAACCGAAAAGCAGGACTTGGTACGTGATGCTTGCAACAACGAATATATTAATGCACTCACA